ATATTAAGAGTGGGAGAAAAATTAGTATTTTCCAACAGTTCAGGTTCATAATGTATAATACACTATTTACTGAATAAAAATAATACTTTTAAGCATTACATCAAAAGTATCAAGACTTTTGTAATGTTAAAAAGCTTTATATTTCAAATAAACACTGTTATTTTGAACTTTATATGAATCAGATTCCTGGAAAAAACGGTTTCCACAAAAATTTTAAGCAGCACAATTGTTTTCAACATTGATAATAATAAATGTTTCCTGAGCAGCCAATCTGCGTATTAGAATTATTTCTACATTCATAGAATGTGATATCATTCCTAGAATAATGATAGAATTCTTGTTCATATTTGCATATTTTTAAAAGTGTCATTAATGTAAAATACTAAATCAAATATTCTATTTAAAATTGTGTTTCGACAATTAGTTGAATAATTGAATAACCAATAACAGACAAAGCAGAATCCCAGTCAAATAAATGTATCTGAATGTTAAATGTATTATATGACTTATATACAGTGATATATTTAGTTTATATATTTAATTGCACGTTTAAATTGAAGATATGTCATAATATAATAACACTATGAATGCAAATTGAATGATTTCAATTAATTAGCCTATAGGTTTTAATGAAAAGCGAAGATGTCTGAAATATACATCTAATTCATGAAAATACTGAATAATAACCCCTTTTATGACAAGTATTACATTTTATAATATCACTAGTAATAACATGCCAGTTGGATCCTTATGTGCCAATTGTAGGTTGGGGTGGGGCATCTAATTTTATCTTTTTACTTCAAAATAATAATAACAAACACACAAAAAACTTTAAAAATCAACATAATACAATCTTATAGATCACTATTTTCCATAGAAACAAAATTATATCAATTAACCTCAAATCTGTTTCAACTGATTACATCTCACAAATGTTGACATTAAAAATAGAGCCAAAATTAAAAATAGAGTATTCATCAAGAGTGTTGAGATCAGATTTGAAAACAAATTGAATACTCTCAAAAAAAAAAAAAAAAAGGCACAGGGTACATGACATATTTAGGGATGCATTTATTTAATATTTTCATATAACTTTTTACATTTTCCAATAAAAGGAATTTTTTTTCTCTAAATAGAAGGAACAAACAATACATTTTGCTATCATACTGGCACACAGATAGGCCTATAAATCCAGTCACCAAGCAAAGGTCACATAACATATCTGATGAATCCAGGTCTGGTGTAGAAGTACTTCTCATCAGCCCATCAGATGTGGCACTGCAGGAGTTTCTCGGTTACTTACCTCATCTGATCCTGAAATTCCATTTGTACTTTTGTATAAGAAAGCCATGGCAGTCTATGATGACTTGAGTGAATGAGAACCTCTAGACATACTCCGTCTAGCCGACATCTAAGGCACAGAAGTCCAGGACTTGTGTCTTTTCACACTGGTCATCACCCCTGCAGTCCATGCTGAACCAAATTCCCTTAATCAGACCCTTAAATTTTATAAAGAATAAAAATGTATATTCAAGTTTTCCATAATTATGGATATATACTTTATAGATGAACTCATTGATTTACAACAAAGGCTCAAAAATTTAACTGAAGAGTAAAATGTGATGCAATTTCTGAGTGCTATAATAGTCTCTAAAATTTCCATATTATTATTATTATTATCTTTACTATTATTATTGCATGAAACATCTACAAATTCAAATGACATTCATTAAGCAACAATAACCACTTACCTGGAGGATTTCACAGTGAGTGTTCCCTCTTACTGATTCTTGTTCATTGCATTCTCCAGGCCTACATAAAAGGAACCACTAGACATCAAGTTGATTACATTTGCATGGAAGAAAAACAGAGACGACAACAGAGACATGCAGAGGGACATTCAAATACAGGTTATTGCATGCATTTCACATCAACACTGAACAGTACCAGGAAAGTTGTAATGAAAATATAGACTTTAAAGGGGTCATATGATGTTGCTAAAAAAAACATTATTTGGTGTAATGAAATGTGTTTATGCGGTTTAAGGTTAAAAAAACTCATTATTTCCCACATACTGTACATTATTGTTTCTCCTCTATGCCCCGCCTTTCTGAAACGCGT